GGATTGTGATCTTCCACAGCAGCTACTTGTTTGGCATTGGCGAGTTGAACTTTTATCTCAGCAAGGTCGGCCAACACTGCCTTAAAGCTGCGTTCTCTCCCACATCACCTTTCACCGAGCTCCTTCTACTGAACTCGTTGGACGTATGGCTGCGTCCCTTGAACTTACACTCGCTCCAAGATCACACAAGGCTCGATCGATGTCGATGTTTCCTAGCTTACAAGGGATAGAGAAACTTCCCGGATCAGCCATTTTTGGGGGAAGTTCATGCTTCATGATTGCAGCACTGATCTCGGTACTAAGGGCTACTGTTTTCTTTTCCACAACCCTTTTCCTCGCCAAGATGTCTTTTAGAAACTTCGCATATGAGGGCATTTTGAGAATTACCTCATGAAAGGGCATCGTAATCTCCATCTTTTTCAACATCTCCGCAAACTTCCCAAACTGACTTTCTTCATTAAATTTCCTTAGACGAGAAGGAAAAGGGATTGGAGGTACCTTAGGTGGCGGTGGAATGTAGATGGGTTCTTTCTCATGTTCTTGCACTTTTGGAGTGTCTTCCTCTACAGCCTTGCTTTTTTCCTCTCTTGTTAGCCTTGGAGGTGATGTCTTCTCAACCATCGGAGGGGTGATCTCCGGAAGTTGTTTTCCACTCCTCATCTCCACTGCATTGATATATTCCCGAGGGTTCATCTCGTTCTTACCGGGGAGCATGCCTTGTTGTCTTGATGAGGAGGAAGATGCGAGTTGAGCCACTTGATTGTCCAAGATCTTCAAGTGAGCTTGTACTCCTTCCAATTGTTTCTTGAATGCAATTTGCTCATTTTCAATGGTCCCAATGGATACTCCTTACGATTTTTGACCTTGGAGAATTTGCAATAGCATATCCTTGATGTCCGGGTCTTGCTCCTTGGGTTGTACTTGCTGCGATCTGTAGTTAGAATTCCCCTTGGTAGCCTTGGCTCCCTTGACCTTGTTGTTGATACTTTGATTGAAAACCCGGAGGTCCTTGGTTGTTCCGTTGGAAAGCGGGGTGAGGATTTAGCGCATTTGACGTGTTCTTGTAAGAGAAATTGGGATGATTCCTCAATCCCGGGTTGTATAGGTTGGACGGATGAGTGTATTGATTAGGCCCGAGATAATGTCTTCCTCTACAGCCTTGCTTTTTTCCTCTCTTGTTAGCCTTGGAGGTGATGTCTTCTCAACCATCGGAGGGGTGATCTCCGGAAGTTGTTTTCCACTCCTCACATCGCGTTCACTGTTTAGCAAGTACATCCGATAGTATTTCACTATGGAAGGTTCAAAGGTAAAACTACCTTTCCGGATGCAGTAAACTCTCTATGAGTAAATTTTGCATTGCATATCATTTGCATACAATGCATTAGTTGCATGAGATGCATTTAGGTTCACCTAACTCAAGGCCCTATTTTGATTCTTGTGGGGGATTGTTGGACTTGGGTTTATTTGAAAGAATCAAAACGGGCCTAGCCCGTGAGAAGCCCGGTCCGTATAAAGTTTATTCTTGTTTGAATTTGAAATTCAAATTCAAATTCAAATTGGATTCAAATCCGCAGAAAATCTATCAAATATGATTAAGATAAGATTGAGATAATATCAAAATAAAATCAAATTTGAATTTTGAAATTCAAATTGATTTGTTTTGAGATTCTCCCCTCTACTATAAATAGGGGTCTTGGGTTAGCTCATAAAACACACAATAACCCAATTCAAGCTCAACCATATTCGAGCTATGAGAATCACGATTTCTCCATACTGCCTCACCAAGATAATCAGGCACGCTCAGCTAGGGCATGACCCGTAACCATGACGATCGAGGCCTTGACAGTTGCTCTACTAATGGGCGGTAATAGCTTGAGATTTCATGAGGTATATGTGACTTGAACACCAGGATACCTTAACTGAATTCAAGTCAGTTCAGTCAAGCTGTTCCGATCAACTCGGTTGATCTACTCTTAGTTCAATTGAATCGTCTGTGTATATAATCCTTTTTGCCAAACAACACTTGCTTGCTTTAAATTATGTACCGAAACACTCTCATTGGTTAAACATTCATAATGTTCATCCAATGTGCATCAAAATCTCGGCTCAGACACTTGAAACGATGCAGCAATTGCATCTAAATTCTGACTCTGTCCGAGTCAACACTTGACTCGGTCCGAGTCAGGAGCCGAAATCATCTACAGATCAATCTGAACCAAAACTTGACAACCGGACAACTTTCTGTACTGACTCTGTCCGAGTCAAAACTGGCTCGGTCCGAGTCAGAAGTCTGTAAGGCCAAGTCTGTTCATTTTGGTTCGTTCTGTCTCGGTCGAGTCAACACTTGACTCTGTCCGAGTCAAAACTCTGATCTGTCGTTCTGACTCTGTCGAGTCAAAACTCTGACTCTGTCCAGGTCAAAAGTTTGGGAGTTCTCTCGTTCTGACTCGGTCGAGTCAACACTTGACTCTGGCCGAGTCAAAACTCTGGTAGACACTTTTTGGCCACGAGATCTAGGGTTTCACCCCGTTTCGATGCACCATCAAGCCGTCTTCGACCCCCAAACTCATCCATGCATCAAATAACAATCATAACATCATTAAATATGCATAGATCAAGCCTATCATGCAATTTTAACCATTAAAATTCATATAGGCATGCGACAAGCACGGCGATATACAGAGAACCAGGCTCTGATACCCGAGCATTCAAAAAATGAGCGACCCGAGCATTCTCGAATTCTTATTTTTCCTTGCAGGAAGACTCCACGATGAATCCTCACGAAGCGGGCACGGAAG